TTCCCTGTAGAAGAAATAACAATATCAGATTAATTCATCTTAATAGTTAAAGATGACAATGGCTAAGGATGAAGAAAAAGAAAAATTTAATAGAAAACCAACAGAACACCTTTTTTTTTTTTTTGCAAAAGGCCTTTCTAAATGAAAAAGCTGCAAACATGCAACACATTTTCCCTAAATATTTTGTAGATAAAATTTAGAACTAATTTATAACTTGAAGCATACCTGTGAAACTTTCACGTAACTCAAATAAATTTGTTTTAAGTACAAGGACTTATTTTCTGTTCTCTTAAGGTAAGAAGTGAACAACACTAATATCCAGGAAGAACTGTACTATATCTGTCTTTGAAGCAATTGTCATGAGGTATGGATTTGGATGACACGCAAACCAGTATGAGTCCAAATGAAAGGCAAACTGGCTGACAGGAGTGGCTTTACTCCCCATGGCAACTCTCAGCTGAGTTCTGACACTGTGTAGATTGCACCAAGAGTAAGGATCACACAGAGTGTGTTTAATCAGTTTCCCATCAAATCTATAAACTGACATAGAGTGAGAAAAGTAACCAATTTTGCCCAAGACCAGCAAACAGATCAACTCACCCCGTGGTCACACAATTCCTAAACAGTGCAGAAAACAGTGAGCACACTGCTGGGGCAGTCAGGAACAACAGAACAACTGCTATTTATTTCAGCGGCACTTCTGTGCAGCTCTGATGAAGTGTAGAAATTACAACCCTAGAACTGACATCTGTGTAAGATTTTCATTATGACAAATATTACAGGAGATCCATCTGTTACTCTAGGGAATCTGACTGCACAAAGGAAATGTATTTAAAAGAGAAGCTGTAGTCACTTAGGATACATTTAAATGAAGCTTCTAAGATTAATTTCTTAAAGGAAAACTTTTGCTTTAAGTATCATTATGATCAACAAATGGTGCAACATTATTATTTCAGTCTGTCTTCTARTTACATAACTCAATGCTTCAGTGTTTTACTGTTCTTTCACATGTACATGAGTACCAAGTTAAGCTTTATCCTGATTAGCTCATCTTTGATATAGTATTAAAATTTTTCTAACATGTTGYAATTAAAATTTTTCTGACATGTTTGAAACATGCCATTTCCATGGAACTGGAGAACAGGAGCCTCCTTCAAGTAAGAAATGTTCCTTTGTAAACAAGAGACAAAAAGACAAGCTACATATTCTATGCTGCTATAACTTTCAGCTCAAACAAGAAAAACACTTGTATGTAAGATTCAGTGACAAATATCAAATTACAAAAGTAAAGGGTGAAATAAGCATTAAATTACAATAGAAGCAAGTTATAAAGTAAGGCAGCATGAGGCAGATTGATTTGATTACTATGAGGTAGTGAAAGAGAAAGTTTGCAGTACARAATTACCCTTCTACTTGGGCTGTACCCTTCCACCTTACAACCATTTGCTTCAGAAGTTTAGAGGTAACTGCAGTAGCTTCCACGAGTTTGCCTCCAACTTTTCTATTCCACTGCAATAAAAGTCACAATTCAAACTGTACATTTGACTGTCCCAAACATTCAGATTCTTTAGTTCTTCAGTTTCATAGTACAATGGTATTCTTTGCAAATTCTCTCACAAACCCAAGATAATATAGTTTATGGAAACTATGAGAAAAAAAAAAAAAAAAAAAAAAAAAAAAAAAAAAAAAAAAAAAAAAGAAAGACATTTACTCCAAACAGAGTGTAAGAAATTCTCTGTACTGAATTACTAAATGAAAACTTCAGCCAGGTACACCATTTCTGAGTTGTGAACATGTGAGAGTGTGAACCAGAACTGGTCCTAAAGTTTTTCTATTGGCATTGAACCCCATTATTTGTTATGGATTTCATTTGCCAGCAGTATACTAAATCATAACTCGCAAACAAAGTCTTCTGAAGTGATACAGAGAAAGAAATTTTATTTCTTGGTAGTATTTTTAAATTGCAGAAGGCCAAAGTCCTAGTTGATGCAAAGTCCAAATTCACTGAACGGAATATTCTAAACACACAGATAACAGAGTTCTCAATACACCAGTAACTCAGTTTGTGAGAATGAAAAAAAGCAGTAACTCACTTGTCAGCTGAGCTTTAGAGAACTTCTCTGTACAGCTGTGATCTTGGATATTGTTCTCCAGCTTCTGCCATTCCTGTGCTTGAAAGAGGTGGAGTCTAGCTGCTTTTGCCACAGCTACTGCTATATTCTTGATTCTGACACACAGAACAGCATGATCACCTTGATATTTAAAAAATAAAATCAATTACTTTGTAATTATGTCACTTACAAGGAAAAAGATAGTGTGGTACAGATTTTTTTGTAAGTAGCTGCACTAGTTTCACATAATTCTTAAATTTTTACCACTACTTCCTAATGTATGTACTTATGGTCTTTCAGAAAAAAATTCTGTGTATATCTCATTAACAAACCACTGTATGCACAGTTCTCTATGATTGTACTTAAACAAACCGTCACCATAACCCAAGTGTCATTAACCTTCTCTATTACAAACAGCCTTCCCTCACCCCTTCACATTTTTTTTACAACAGACTTCCAGATAACTTGTTTTCCCTTCCTCTCTCCCACCCCAAATTTATGTTTTAAGTTAAAGACAGTGCCTCAATAGCTTCAATAACTAGTTCAAAATCTAGAATTTTATGACCTTTGTGGCATGCCTATGAGCATCATAGAGTAGCTCTTAAGTCTGATACCAAAATAACTTATGTAAATGGACTTTCATGCTATGGATGGATTAGAGCTAAAATGCTTCACTAGAGATGACAGATGTCAAATTGATGCAAAAAAAAATCAAACTTCAAAAGTGTTCTCTAACGTGTCAGTCTACTTGCAGAATCATAGAATGGCAGAATGGCCATTGGAAGGGACTTGAAAGACCACCTAGAGAAACTTTCCACTAGATTAGGTTGCTCAAAGCCGCATCCTGTCCTTAAACACTTCCAGGGATGGGACATCCACAAATTCTCTAGGCAACTTGTTCCARTGCCTCACCACCCTTACAGTAAATATATTTTTCCTAATATCTAATCTAAACCTTATCTGTTTCATTCTGAAACTATTCCCCTTTGTCCTGACACTATAGGCTGCATCTTGATATACAGAAATATTTTAGTAATTTTAGAACTAGATCATTTGACAAAAATTATCTTGTCTAAATAATTCCACAAKCCTCAAACTTGCTTTCATAATTTCTTTCATATATTGCCATAGACWTCTTTAATTTAAGGATATCCTAAATTAAAAGGTAGAATTCACTGGAGAAGAAAAATCAGTTGGTATTGAAAGAGCACAAACTCCATTCAAATTCAAATTCAATCTCAAATACGGTGATCTCCTGGGATCTGTAAAATGTTGTATGAACTACAGTTTAGCTAAGAATATTTTGTAATATTAACAGAAGGCTCAAAAAAAAGCTTCACTATGTCCCAAAATAGTTGTTGGTATYCATGCAGAAAGAGCATTTCTATGCAAATACACAGCATCAATTTATAGAACTATATCTGAACACCTACAACACTCATCTTGAATGTTAACAGTGTTTTCTCAGATTTAAACAGTGCACTTTTCCCCTTCTCATCTATTTAGAGYGCTTCTACAATTAACTTCTAGGACAGTGATAAYTAACTGCTTTCAAGTCACTTCATAAGCTATCTCCACCCTATCTATCACTTCTCATTCAGTGCTGGAAGGTCGCGCTCCAACTCTGTTTTGCTTGTGTCACGTTTTCCAGCACCCCATTAGATTTTGAAGCATTGCGCAGAACTGTTCTGCCATGAAGCTCAATAGGAAAGAAAACAGCCTAAGCTACTGAAATGCTGAGCATATAGGAAAAGCATGCTGACCAGCACAGCCTTGCTGTACATAGCACTTGTCATGGAGAAACACATCTCTTTCTGCAAAGCAAAACTTCTGAAGTAAGCACAGTGCTTTCCAACCTTCTGGAGGGGCCATTCCAACAGGATTCTGGACCACTGCTAGGGCTCTCTTTCAGCAGGTCAGCAGTCAGGAATTATTACTAAGTAATTACTGACTAATAGGCAGAAATTATTACTATGAAGGAGTTAATAATACAGGAAAGAAAAAGGAAAGCCATTGGGAATAACCAGGTGAGAATTTTACGTTTTGACGCGCGGTGTCACCAAGAGCACCCAGCGATGTGGCACAGCGACGCTAAGCATCGCTGCCATTTGGTGGAGGTCCAAGAGGGAAGGAGAGATGCGTGTCGCAGTGAAAACGCCTCTGCTCTCCCGGACACTGGGCCGGGAGTGTCCGCCCCGGGCTGCGGGACACCAAGGGAGGCACAGCGCTGCTCCCCTCGGACCCAACTCCGGCACCCCGCGCTTGGGCCGCCCCGCCGCGCACCGGCCGGCTCCTGCTGCTGCCCGGGACCCCCGGCCCCGCTCCGTGCTGCCCGGACAGCGGATCGGAGCTATTGCACGTCCCGGCGACGGAGAAAGGAGAAAAAGAGGGAAGGAGGGAGAGAAGTAGGAAAAGACGGAGAGCTGCGGGCTGACCCGTTCCCCGCCCCGCGGCCCCTCCGCCTGGCACCAGTCGCCCCGCGTCCYCTCACAGCCGCCCCTTCCCCAGCGGGCCCGTCTCAGGACGGCACAGCTCTCCTCGGATCCTGCCATCGGGGCACCCACCGTGGAACTGGAAGCGCGCCACRGGCCGCCACGGCTCCCGGCGGGCGGCGGCGCTGGCGAAGCCGCCCCGCAGAGTCTTGCCCAGGACGGGGCCCCAGCAGCTGAGCAGCCACAGCAGCCGCCACCGCATCCCCGGGACCCGCCGGACACCGGGATCGCCCTTCCCTCCTCCCGCGCTGCGCCCCGCCGGGTCACGTGACAGCCCCAGCCGGGCCGGGCACGGGCGGGAGGGCGCGRCAGCCAATGAGAGAGCGCGCCCGCCCTTGGGGGCGTCACCGAGACCCAGGCCCCGCCCCTGCGACAACGTGTCCCGTTGCTAGGTCCGGCCGTAAGTTSAGAGAGCCAGAATCGTAAAACAGACGGCCGTCGGTCGCCGCTGAATGCGGAGCGGAAACCTTGGCCGTTTGCATACGCCCGCCCCGCTGTCGGTGGCCTCCGAGACGGTGACAGCTGCGCTCTTGCGGCCGCGCGAGGAGCGAAGAAAGCTATATTAAAATGAGCCTCTTGCAGGCGCTGCGTSTCCGCCCCTGAAACCTACGGCCCGTGCCGCGCACGCGCAGCCGCGGGGGAAAGGGACTGAGCGGCCGGTGCCGTAAAGCGCGGAACATGTCGGGGCGGGCGGGACCCGCGGCGCCGCCGGTGTTCGAGAAGCGGGTCCTGGTGACGGGCGGTGCCGGCTTCATGTGAGTGACCCCAGCGGGGCCGGAGCGGGCCGCCGGACCGCTGTCGAGGGTGCGGGTGAGATGCGGCGGGCGGGGTCCCGCCGTGCCGCCCTCCTTGTTCCTGTCCCGGCCGGTTCCTCGGTGCCGCTGGCTCGGGCCGCGCTCTCTCAGGAGCTGCTGGTAACTCGCCCCTGTCGTGGGTTTTGAGGTGACAAGTGCTGGGGAGCGAGCTGGGACGCTGCCCCGGCGGTCATTGGCGTGCGAGAAGGTGCCCGGTGAAGGAAAGACCACCCGGCTCTGGCGGTGGGATCAGTGCTCGGCCTCAGCCGGGATGGGGCTGCCCAGAGAAGGGCGACGGAGCTGGTGAAGGGTCTGGAGCACAAGTCTTCTGAGGAGCGGCTGAGGGTGCTGGGGGTGTTTTGCCTGGTGGCTCAGCGGAGATCTTACCGCTCTCTACAGCTCCCTGAAAGGAAGTTTAGCTAGATGGGGTTCATCCTCTTCTCCCTAGGCGGCAAATGACAGGATGAGAGAATACACTCTTAAGCTGCGCTGGGGAGGTTCAGGTTGGACATTGAGAAGACGTTGTTCRCAGAAAGGATGAGGTGCATGAGTCACTGACGTCGCAGGTGTTCAGGAAATGAYTGGACAYGGTACTTAATGTAGTACCATGGTGTAGTTAACAAGGTGGTGGCTGGTCATAAGTTGGACCCCATGATCTCAGGTCTTCTCTAACCTAATGGGTTCTTTGGGTTGGGGGTGAAAAGGCKTCGAGCCGGCTTCTATTTCTTGTATCAACCCTCAGTGCTGTGGGCTCAGTTTGAATCAGTCAAGTCTGGTCCATCATGGRCTTGAGCCCACCAGTTTGCTTGGAGTTGGAAGCTGTGAGAGGGTCAAATTTCTATGTGCAAATAACCCCTGCTAAACCCGAGCTCTTAGAGTGAGCTTCATACACGCAAAACGGTGCCAAAGAGGAAATGCCATCTGCTTGTCTGRTTGTCACTTCTTACACCTAGCAGCAGTGTAGGAGACTTGAGTGATGGGAGTCACTGTTGTGGTTARGAGTGTTGACTGTTTGGTTCTCCCTGATATCTAATGTGTAAGCTTTAGAGTGTAAAAGTATTTTAGAATGGCAATTGAATATAGCATACAAAAGGGTTTTTTTAAATGTGACTGTGGGTAGTATTGATTTCTTTCATTATAGTATGAACTTTTATTGTGATTTTTAGTTTCTTAACCCTATGCACTTAAATATAGAAGATATCAGGATAATATATAGAGTATATATTAGAATAATGTTTACATGTGTTAAAATAGCTTTGAATTTGTCTTTCAGCTGTTTKTAATATACTGCCTTCTTCCCCCAAAGMYTTCTGATATTGCTGAAATTRTATGTAATTTGTYATCTTTATTACTTTRAAGCCAAGTGTATAATTGTAAAATGTGTTTTTCTTGTATCTTGCAGYGCCTCACATGTAGTCCTCTCTCTTGTGAAAAACTATCCAAACTATCTGATTATAAATCTGGATAAGGTAATAGCTTGTTTTCTTTCTTGATRTAGAAAACTGTTTTGAATGATTTATAATGCAATCTATAATATGTTGAAATTTATATGGCTTATTRTTAGTTACTAACTTTTGTTTGATTTTCCATTTTTTTCCTGTGCAAAAGAAGGTCAACTGGTGTTCAGAAAAAGAATGAAGCTTTTCAAGCTCTACATGTGTGTTTAAGAATTTTTGCAGTTAGGGTATATTTTGGAAATTTATGTTTTTAAAGCTTTTGCTTGTGGAGTAGATTTTCTTTTGAAATAAGTTTTTATTTTGTTTTTAGACTTTCTAGTGGTTAGTTGGGTTTGAGTTGGGTTCTAATGGTGAGCTGATTTGCTTCCATGAAGCCCACTTGTTGATGTTGTGTGGTACTTCTCTTTAGCTCGACTACTGTGCAAGCTTGAAGAATCTTGAAACGGTCTCTGGGAAGGAGAACTACAAGTTTATCCAGGTGATGAAGCCTTCTCTTCCACAAAATGTGACATTTTACAGATTTTTGATGTACTGCTTCTYCAGTTTTGTCTTCACATAGGAGATGGAGTTTGATTTATTGCTCAGATCAATATTCTGATTTGCTAGGTTTGTGTGCTGAGGTACTTCCTGTCTACARCAGTCAGTGCTGATGCTCATCTCTCTGTCTCAGAGTCTGCCCAAGGTTGCAGGACATCTGAGAAATGCATTCAGTTTTCTGAAATAGCACTTTTGTCAGAGGTAGTAAATGTAAACTTGCATTTTTTTTAGATTCAGGTCAGTTTGGGTGTTGAACTTGCCCTCACCTCTTGGTGATCCCCATTGCTGTTTGTTTACGTGAGCCTACCTCTTTATTTCAGTAAGGGAATATCTCTGAACATTGGGATAAAACCACTGTATGGAATTTGTGCTCTTGTAATACCAAAAAGGGACTGCGTGTATACAGACATGCACATGTGYGCATTTTCAGCATGGCCAAGCTGGCTTTTTGGTTATTTTTCCTAAGGTGTTTGATTTTTTTCCAGTGTGTGACGTGAAATGTATGAGTGCTGTGTAAAAGTTTTCTTACCTGGATAGATATTAATATTTAATGGCTGGGAAGAGATTGGAGTTCTGGAAGGCATCCTTTGAACAGTCAGATCCCTGGGGGATGTAGGGCAACATTTACTAGGAATTATGTGGTTATACTGTTTTTGAGCAAGAACAGGAATGTCCAGGAGCAGGGGCACAAAACATACATCAGTATAAATAATTCCAACTTTTCAGGGCTTTTTCTGTGGTTTGGTGTGTGTGTGGGGGTGTTTGGTTCCGTTTTTGGTTTTTAGGGATGGTTAACTGCTTAACATGCAGCTGGTATGCAACTAAGTTGTTCACACTGATAGGAAAAAATGTGYTGGAAAAGAGATTCTGATGTGTCCTTATGATTAGAGCTGTAACATTGGTATTGACCTTAGGAGACAGTAAGAAGGATATACACTCTAGTGATACTGCAGAAAGGAAGTCTGTTTTGGAAAGTACAACAATAAGTTTAGAAAATTTGACTTGGGGGCTATGTGAAAGATACATTTTAATCACAATTTTTGTTGCTGTTCAACACAGATGTACTCATCTTGAATTTCAGTTTAAAAAATTTAGTAACCATTTAGTTTGAAATAATATTTGAGTGTATTTACTGGAGTGTTTCAGTTTTATTCAGGATGAGAAATAGGTAAATCACTTTCCTCTTACTTCTGACTTAAAGTACCTCTTTGAGGCTGTTGTTCAGAGTTGTTGCCTGAGAATTTCTTAAAACRTAGGTACATTTGAACTATTTTTAGTTAAATATTTGAAAATAAAAACGTCTTCTTCCACAAGACACCTGTTCTCTGGTACTGTTTTAATTTGGACCAACARGTAAATATCAAAAAAGTTCTTTCTTGGCTTGCATTTACCTTTAAAAACTGCTGTTGCTTCTGTGTCAAACTAAAGAATGGCTTGTGTGCTGATGCCTGTCTCTTTTCAAAAAATATATAAATTTAAAAAAAAATACCTGAATTAACAGCAAAAAGTAAAAAACCCTTGTGAGACATCCAACCTAGTGGGAATCCTCGTCTCCTTTTGCAGTGCCACTAGATGTCCCTGTCTGCTTGCCAGACTAGGAACTCTTACTTGGCTCTGGGAACTTGGCATTTTCAGCCTCAGCGTTGGAGCTCCATGCTATACCTTTGTTGTGTGTATTTTTGGGAACATTGCTGTTTCTAATGTTAATAGTAATATAAATTCTGAAAGAAGTTTGGCTGAGCATTTGTTTTAAATGGGTGAAATTTTATATGTGGTCTTATTTTAGACATGGCATCAATAAATGGCCCAGAACTCAGTGGTGCTGTTTGTATCCTGTATTCCCTTTGTAATGGTTTCTTATGTGACACTTGGTGTACATGGAAGCTGATTATTTTCTATCAAAAATAATTTACATTTTTTTCTGTTTAGGGAGATATTTGTGAACCTGCTTTTATAAAGCAGCTCTTTGAAACTGAGAAGATAGATATAGTCCTTCATTTTGCAGCCCAAACACATGTAGGTGAGCATTGCTGCGTGTTTTGGTATTGTTTTCCAAGGCTATACCTGCTTGAAATATATGCCAGTCTTTGTCTTTTCATATAAATCAAGGATCCAATTTGTCTCTACAAATCACATGACTCTATGTCTGGTGCCCTTTTTAACTCAAAGGGTTTCACAGCCTTGATTTAAACAGTGCTTCATCTAACTGTTGTCTTGTTTTCGTTGCACATAAATGGTGCTGTACCTTTTTGTTTGCATTGCAGTTTTAAATTCCATCTTTACATGTAACTGACATTCCAGATACACATGTAGCTGACAGTGTACTGAAGGAGTCAGACAGTGGAGAGGGGCTTTGTACATAGTCTGAAGTTTTTACTTAATTGGCTCCAMTGTCACATGAAAAAACAGCGTGGAAGCTGAAGGATTAGGCATAAGTCCCTTTGGAATCCTGTCTCAGCTCTAAAAAGAGAGAATGAATTATACTTAAAGTGCCTATTTCAGATTGCTGCCTTTCAGTATCACTGTTAATAAGAACAATCCCCACCATACTGCTTCCATCATGAGAAGAAATCCTCAAAGAATTCTGCAGGAAAATACYTATGGAAACTGTCAGATTTAATATGCGCAACATCATTAGGTCATTCAGACCTAAGAATCAAAAGAGTCAAARCAGCTGCTGATGAGTTAACAGTCATAAGTCCATTTACTGCATCTTGCAACTGTCTTTGAATGACCCTTTTGTTACTGTGCTTAGCTTTTCCTGCTGAGATGGGAAGTAATTATACTGTCATTTAAATAAAGTTAGATAATATTATTATAGGTTAAAATGTCCACAGTCAACAAGCTTTTGCTCCTCGTTGCAGCCTTTTGTTGAGAACAAAGATTTTTTTCTTCAAGTTAAGTGTAGAAAGTGTGCCTTCACTTAATAAGGACCTTGCTCTCTGACAGATCTATATTGCAGCCTCCAATAGGAGCCTATACCCTGTCTTGTCTAAATTTAATCAGAAGTGTCTGAATTATTTTATGCAGATCTTTCTTTTTGGCAWGCCCTGGAATTCACGTACGTGAATGTTTATGGTACCAATGTGCTGGTTGCTGCTGCACATGAAGCCAATGTGGAGAAGTTTGTCTATGTTAGTACAGATGAAGTATATGGAGGTAGTACTGATGAGGTGAGTTTGAAAATGCATGAGAGTTTTCCTAGTTTACCTGATTTAAATAGTGAAAACAAAGTGAGTCTAACTTTCATTAGCCTCTGTAAGCGTCTGACTTTTTAGCTACTTCTGATAGTACTGGAACTTGTAAGTAAGCACTGGTTGCTTCTAGAAAGCTGAGTTTCAAAACTCTCCTGATTTTTTTTTGGTTTTGGTAGTATATTTTAAAGGAGTGACATTTTGGTCATTAATGATGTCACTACTCCTCAGAGATAGTATCAAAGGAATATATTATACAGGTTTTGTCCTGGAGCATTCATGAGACTTCAATAATGTGCACAGTTTGACAGGCAAGGAACTGCTTTTATACTCTTGCTAAAATGCTAACAGAAGTGCAGGTAGTGACAATTGAAACAGGAAACAATTCCTATATTCCTGTAATAAATATTCAGGTGTTTCTTTTTGTATGGAAATCTTGGTTTTTTTTACAATTTAGTAATTATTGACCTTAGTTCTGGAAATGTAATTTAGGTCACTGAAGAAGCAAATCATGCACGTTCATCTTTAAAAAAAAAAACAGTCAAAGAGCCTTTTGCCATAGTCCATTAAAATATTAATGCACTTCGGAAGAGTCCTATGCACTTTCTTACTGTTGCAAGGTCTTTTTCAGTTCCTTCAACACAACTTCCATTTGTAGACTTTAATGATACCCAAGGATGATACTTTCTTGTGTGTAGACCTGTGGCTTGGCTGATACCTTCAAGTGAAATTTTTCTCCCTCTGAGCCTTTAAAAGAGGAATTCAATCTGTTTTTTCTTCTCTTGTGAATCACACTAGAAGTTCTTGTAGAGTTTTTTTGGGCGGGAAGAAGCCCAGTTAATTTCAGAAGCAAAGGCTGAACAAGAACAGTAAGTCTTTTAATCACGTTAAGGTGATTGTTACAAATCACACCTTGTGCTGTGTAACCTTTTTTTGKTTTTTTTTCCCCCGTCAAGTGAGAAGTAGATTAAAATGTCAGGATAGCCTGGAAGATACCTGTTCTGGAAGTGGTCAGAATTGTTGAAGCCATGCTTTGGACATTTTTGTGTTGCAGTTCTACATTTCTTACAGAAATAAGGTTACAGGAAAGTTTAAGAAAAGCCTCCTTTTATTTAGGACTGAAAGGTCAATTTGCTGGTGCTGGTGCAATGGATGACTGAGGCAATACGAGTCTGAAAAGGATTGAGCCTCCMTGTAGCAACAGTGATTATTTTACAAGATAAAAATCTGAGGACCTGCTACTGTGAGGTACTCTCCTAGAAGTATAGAAATATTACTGCTGGTAATCTGGCTGCCTCCTATGTTCAATAAATAGGCTGTCTTTTGTTATGGTTTTCTGCTGTAAAGGAACTTTKTCAGACTGATGTGCTTGGATATTTAGAGATTTTTATTTCTTTTTGTAATTTTAAGGCTTATCTGGGCAAAATAAACTGAGTAATGCAAATTCTTCTCTTCATTTTAGGAATTTGATGAATCCTCACCAAAACGGCCGACAAATCCCTATGCCTCCTCTAAGGCAGCTGCAGAGTGTTTTGTTCAGTCTTACTGGGAAAGATACCAAGTAAGTTCATGGAAGCTTCAAAAACTCTGAAGCCTGTAATTAAGTGTCTGTACTATGTACATAAGAGTATAAAAGAAAAATCAGTACTAGTCCACACAGTGCCACCTCTTTCTTATTGTTAGTCCAGTGTTTGGGTGTATTGGAGAATGTCCACCAATAAGTGGCGAAGATGCATTGCAAACAGTGGTGTCACGTCAGATCTTCTAAATTTTGTTTTTTTTTAATCTGAATTGTGAAAACTAGAAATGTGCTTTGATAAAATGGTCAGAGAAAATGTTAGGAATTTAAAAACCAGTGCTAAGCTTGAAGGAAGTACAAAAGTATTACACAGAAGTAGAACATTCAAAACTCAAATTGTATTAAGACTAGGCTTATACTTAAAGCAAAAAAAAAAGGAAGAAGCCCTGTTAGTTGGATTTGTTTAAGCAAACATTTAATATTTAATAACATATAATATTTAGACTTTTTTTCTTGATATATGRTGTTTTTGCTATGAAGTGGGCAAGAATAGGATGTTAATAGCCTGTGAAACGTACTGGAAGAAGTAGGGGTAGGCCAGTCTTCAGTCCRCCAGATGCACATGTGTAATGTCCTGTGGTGGTTCCAGAGCAAGAGAGGATTCAAACCTTTGTCCCTTCTGGKGTTCCTAACAGGCTGAGATACCTGGAGGCCCTTGCCTGTTTGACAGAAATACAGAGAGCTTAATTCAGTAATGTTTGTAAGCGCTTGCAGATTTTTGAGTAAGCACTGTGCATATGTCAGTTTGTTTATTGATCAGCATGAAAGGTACAGATTTTTACTGGTATATGTTTTCTTATGTAATCATGTGTATGTGTAATGCTCTTCAGTTTCCAGTTGTCATCACACGGAGCAGTAATGTTTATGGACCACACCAGTATCCAGAAAAAGTAAGTTAAATGATGCTTTACTCTGAGCTTCAGTGTACCATAATTCAGGGTTGCAGTGATGTTACTTTTTTCTCCTGTGCATGGGATAAATTTTGAAAAAAGCCTTTTTGCAACTAACTTGTGATTATATATTTTGAGCTCACACATATGACTGGATTTAAGCTTGCAGATAAACATGATATTCTAAATCTTTGTTCAGCAAATACATTGTCACTTGATCTGTGTTCATCTGCATTCTCTTGAAATTCTCTGTTGATTCTCTTCCAAATGGAACTATTTTAAGAATTCCTGGGTTCTAGATTTACTGTAATTTGCTGGATGTTTGAACCTTGTTCTGATTTATTGGCAGTAATTACTTCTAGTTATACTCTAGTGCACTGCTGTGTGCAAAAGTAATGGAAACTTCTTTTATTTTTGTAAAAATGTTACTTTTGTAACTGCCAGAAAGAGAAGATTTACAACAGAGTAGAAGCATCTACTCTTGCAAACCAATATCCTTGCAGTTTCTAAGCTTGATATATTTTCATTCTACTTAAYAAAACTTGAAAGTATTTAAAGGATATTATTAAAATATTTAATACTATGTAACTGCTGAAGTKCCTTATTCTTTGTAGAGTAACAGGTTCTAAAATATTTGTGTAAAGTTTTTTTTTTTGTTGTTCAATTCTTAGGTTATTCCAAAGTTTATATCTTTGTTGCAACAGAACAGAAAATGGTAGGTAACTTGCATTTTTTTGTAGTATTTGTGCTATAACACTGTAATTGCAGTTATAAATATAGGCTAATTTGTAAAATCATGATTACATAACTAAGTTRTGAGTCACATATTTTAATAATAGTGTTTCATTAAAGTAAAGGATTGTTTGCATGTCAGCTACTTAAGGTRCCTTCAGGTAACCATCTAACAGCAAAACTGCTTAAAACACAATCCAGTAAATTGAATATGTCTATTTAAGGATTGACAAAAAATTTTTGTCTTTTTCTTGTCTTAAGCTGCATTCATGGTTCTGGACTTCAGAGAAGGAATTTCCTTTATGCAACTGATGTGGTAGAAGCATTTCTTACTGTCCTGAAGGAGGGGAAACCAGGTGAAATTTATAACATTGGAACTAACTTTGAGATGTCCATTACCCAGCTTGCTAAGGAGCTAATCCATTTAGTGAGTAAACAGTTCTGATGCTTTTCTTCACCAGTCTTCATTGCACATGCGAACAATTCTTCTACAAGCCTTCTGTAGCTATGAAAGAGCTTAGGCTTGTGGTGGGTGTTGGAAGATACTTATCCATGGCAGCTGAACTGTGTAAATTTGCAGTATGGGCTATCCTGTGTTAGATTGCTGCATCAGTTAGCCTGACTGGGATATAACTGTCATCATGATTGAATTCAATCTTTTTCATGCTGGCTGCTTTAGTTTTGGTCTGAGAATGTAACACTATTAAAATCAGCAGTTTGATTATAGTTGTTCTGGCAGTGCTTGGATGAAGGGACAGATTGGAATTGTTCTAGATAATTTTGATAATTTCAGTGGTTTGAAGACTCAGTATACAAAACACCATTTCTGTTTGTGATTTTTTTTTTGGGCGGGGGGGTGGGTAATAAACTGAAGTTTAAATATATGTTTAGACAGTGCAAGATATATGGGAGTTATACTTGTTTTTGTTCTTGACAGATAAAGAAGACCAGTTCAGAGTCTGAAATGGAGCACTGGATGGATTATGTCAAAGACAGGTGAGAACGTGGAGGACACAACAGGATGTGCTGCACATGCAGCATAGTTTTGTCCTGAACCAAACCTTTACATTAACTAAATAGATTTTTGTGGAAGTGTTTCTGTTCTGAAGGAGGGAATACCTTTGAGGGAATAAGAGCTGTGTTGCTTCCTTAATTTTTTTTTTTTTTTTTGCTAGTGGATTTGACATCTATGATCAGGGTACTGTATAGAAAACCAGGATTTTCCTTTATTATTTGGACCTGTAGGTCAGAATGTGTGTTTTGAAGGGTAATGTGTAGTGCTAATGTGTTTGTCTTCAAACTTTCTTCATACTTCTCACTACTGAAGTTTGCTCTGGGAAGAGGACAGGTTTTACAGGGCTACTAAGTCTTTCCTTCATAGTGGTTTGGACAGTTTATTCAGTGTACTTTGTATTCAGTATCACTGAGTGAGATTAATCCCATTGTCTCTCAAGTAACTTAAGTATTTTGGCCTTAATGTGACTAATTCAGACTTAGGTATACTTTCTAGTGAGACCCTTTTACAGGCAAGAATGTGTGCCTAATGGAGTGTAATTAGCTTTAGATTTCTATCTTAAGCTGAAGCTGCTATCTCAAAAGTACATGTAAAGCTCTAAGGTACCAAAGTTAGGGTAGTGGTAAAAATGTGTAGCTTTTATGAATATGTTTTTGCTGTGTGTTTCCATCCTTAATTTCAGGCATGGTTTGGCTCTGTTCTTTTATCTCCATTTCTTTTCTGCAGCAACAATGAGTCTCTACTTACTTTAGATATCACTCTCTCCAGAGTGATTAGAAATGACATGTCTACTGATAGCAGTTAAGTATTATGGCCTTTAGAATTCTCACTTTCTGTTCACATTTGGATTGTTATCATGGCAACTGAAGTGTCTTTAAAAATGTACTACTGTTTTTAAAAGGAAGTGTTCTTTGGGATCCTATCTGAGTGTATCACAGGACTTTGAACAAATTGCCTTTGGCTTGCATGATGGGAGTATTCAGGAGTTCTCAGTGTAGTTCAGTTTGAGATGTATCTTCATGTGTATTGGGTCCTGTCTGCTAATGTTTAAACAGAAATGGGCTTGGGAAAACAAACCACGTAGGAATAAGTGTTTCAGGGAACRTTGAGGTCTTATAAAAGGTTGTTAAGATACCTATTTCATGACTCTTTAATTGTGTAATTAAAGGTCATAAAATAAGAGTGACTTAAAGGTCATGGTGGTTACTTGCTGCAGAAAMATTAGTTCTGCTTCTTCTCGAGATTAGCATGTTATAGTAATAGTGATAAGTACTTGGTTTGTGCCTGCACATCTACCTTGACTGTTCAGTATGCCAGTGCAGGAATGCTAGACTAGGCTACCTATCTGACAGACTGTGGAAGTGAAATTTCTGCCTTGCTGAAATACATGTGTCTTTCTGTGTTGAATCTTGCAGCTYGGAATTCTACATATYCAGTATTACTAAGTTTCTGTAGCTGATGAGCCACTGTAATGATGATGCTTTGGAAGCCTGTGTATTTTAAATCTGAAGTGTGTGTAAATTTGTGGGTTTTCAGGATGAAAAATGTAAATGCTAGTATTAGAAGACACTGGCTTTGCTTTGCAAATGCACTGAGTTGCACAGTTGCGTTGGCAGTGATTTGAGTTCTGTGTTCATTTTTGTGCCAATAAAATATTAATTAATATTTATTCTAGTCAGTTTCAAGTAGCTGACTGTACAAACTGAATTGTATTGTTGTAGCTGCACTCAGTTGCCATGTATTTTTTGAAGGCAATGCAATCTGTTCATGTTGATGGGAATTTTCAAAACTGAAGCATATCTAATGTTCCTTGGAAGACAATGTGAGGTACTGCATCTCTAATTAATGAAGAAGTATAATTAGATTGTTTTCCGTATGCATTTTTTTATATTATCAGGCCTACAAATGACCTGAGATATCCAATGAATTCAGAAAAAATGCACAGTTTAGGATGGAGACCTAAAGTGCCTTGGAAGGAAGGAATAACAAAAACAAGTAAGTGTTTTACRTTGATTTAGGAGTGATRGGAGAAGGGAGAAAGACAAAGGGGAAATGGGTACTTACGTTAGTTAATGAGAAGCTAGAGATTGAATGTAACACTTGAATTTTAAAATTGGCTATTTTCTAAGTGGTGAATTTACATTACTTAAAAAGAAGGGATGATCACTTTTTAATGCTAGAGTAAGTCTTGCATAAAGAATCTATAGTTTAAACTAGCTTTTTGTAATATCATAGGTTAAAATTTTCCATAAAGAACAGTTGCCATGTTGTTACTCTTATGATGTCTGTGGAATATTTGGATTTCCCTGTTATCTCTGGTCAGCTTGACTCATCAACATTCTTTCCATACTAGTTGAATGGTACAGAGAAAATTTTCACAACTGGAAAAACTCGGAGAAAGCTTTGGAGCCCTTTCCTGTGACAGAGCCATTTGCCCAGCTTAGTGATCCATAGGGTAGCACAGAACCTGAAGGAGTTTTTTCTACCTCATATGGTCTTTTCTTCAAAGCCTGCAATCAAGTGGCCGCACTGGACTCTTAATTATTCAAGATCCATGAACCATGATGAGTGAAGAACCACAGTATGGCACATCTTTGGATTGGTTTCAGCACTTTATAAGTTGAACCTCTTAATTTCAATTTTTGGTGCAATACTCTGTTGTCACTAGGTATTGATTTTAAAAAACTGTATGGAGTAAAGAGTATTTATAATGTTATAAATTAGTGTAACTGAAGTAAAATCTGCCTTATGTAGAATAATTAATTGTGATTACAGCTTTTGGGACTTGGAGTTATATTTCGTTTAGTTCTGGAATTATTCATCTGTTTGTTTTTACAGTGTAATGTATATAACCTTTTGTCACTTTAAAGAGTTCGGTTCTATTTTTAATTAAGGGGAGAAATTTTATATTTTTTGGAGACTATCAATTTGTTGACAAAAGCTGGATACAGCACCTGTATGATTCCGTCCATTTCTCTGCTGGTGCACTATTAGCTTTTGTAGATGACTGATTAAACTTATCTATGACTTTAAATGCCCCTTTTTAACAAGGGGGAAAGGTGTCAAGATGTAGCACGTATTCTCACTGAGATTTCCTTAAGCATTTCCTTAAACTTTGTCCTCTTTTTACTGTATCGCTGTCTATTACATGTTAATTCCCTTTTCTTAACTGTAACAAACTTGAAATACTGGAAMACAGTTAACATTCCAATGATCTTATTTCCTGTGATATGAAGGCTGCTTACAGRGAAAATTTTTTCAAATGTTTCTTTTTCTGTGAACTGTGGGTTGGCAGACCTTAATCAATGCAGTGTTTCACAATTTTTTTTCTGTAATAAACATTTTAAAGATGAAGCAATATTTGAGTTTCAATATAAAATTTGAGGGAAAACCTTCAGTTCTAGAAATATGTCAATGAATCTTGTTCAAAGTTGATTTAGTAATAAATATGGTGTAACTTGTTTCTCTTAGTTAAGAAAAACATGCTGAGAAAGTAGATGGTGGAATTTTAAAAAAAAAAAAAAAAATTCTTAGCTCTTCCATTATCCTGAAAAAAATTACCTTCTCTTTTACATAGATGAGACCACTCTTTTTGGTGTTATCACTTCAGCTTCTGTGGTTGGCACAGTCCCTGATCCTCTGTGGCCCCAGGGCTGAGCTGCAAGAGGTATAGGACTGGGATGCTGTGGTGAACTCAGAGAAAACTGTGACTTCAAAGGATCTCAGAAACTGGGAGTTGACTCTTGGAACACAAGTGTTCCCAACTTCACACCTCTTGTGTGGTACATGGTGCATTGATAAAATGCCACTTTTGGTTGGCAAGAGTCATTCTAAAAGAAGGCTAACCAGGAAGTTTCTAGGCTTACTGCAGCACCAAGCATGGGTTTTAAACTCTAGGARCCTGTTATTGAAGGTGAGTTTTCTGTGACCAAGTGTGATACTAATACTATACTTGAATTGTGTGACGGGTTTTTTTTTTGTTTCTGATAGTTGGTTTAGAAGTAAAAGCCTCCATTTGGGACTGATAGAAGTTACAGGGCTTTGTATGTAATRATCTGCCACATACTTTTTAGTGGAAGCTGTTCTAGTTTATTTAAATATTTTTGAACATTTAATGAATTAACATAAGTTAATTCATCCAAGTGATTGAGATTTTTGGCTTTGTGTTACTACTTTTAAATACATATAAACATATATTTACATTTAAAAATACTGAAATATGTATATTTAAAAAAAAATCTAGGAGTCTTTTGCTWAGAGTTACTTTCCTGTAGATCAGATTTTCTTGGTAGGTAAGTGAGCTGATAGGAGCATTTCTTTCACAGGAAAAGGTTATTTTCTGTTAAACAAAACAGCTTATTTTGCCATTAGCCTTCTGGCTTCTGTAGGAAGAAAAGGACAAAGGATCAACGAGTGAATTGTCAATGTGCAGAAATGTAATGCTTTTAAGGTTTTCTCACTGATTTTACTGGGAGGTTATTTCTGCAGAAGGCAGAGGTAGTGTTGTAAAATACTGTGAACACTAATTTTTCAGTCCATTCTCAARGTTTGTGTCACAGAACAAAGTGAGGCTACGCCAGTAAGAAAATAAATGGAGTAACCGTTTATGTCACTTAAATTGCTGAAACTTTCTCGGGGAGAAGGTCTGGACTTTGGCAAAGGTTTTGATCCAGGTTCTGCCACGGACTTTGGGTACTTAAGTGGGGATCACTGTCAGTTYGCATCCCTTTTTGGGATTACTGTTATAGTTGGATCAGAGCTTTTGGAAGCAGCTCCTGAAATCCCTTGTGCATTGGGGAAAACCAACATTGTTATGTCACTGTCTTGGTGTACCACAGTTGCTATTTGGTACATCCCATAYCAGCAGCAAGTGAAAGGACTTGGAAGACGTTGAAGTGGACAGCTGAAGGAGTGCTGTCTGCAGTCACAGAATCACAGAAGTGGTTTGGGTGGGAAAGGACCTTAAGGATCATCTAATTCAAGCACTGCTGCCATGCRCAGGGACACAGAGCCTCATCCAACCTGGGCTGCAACACTGCCAGGGGTGGAGCATCCACAGCCGACCCTGTGAGCCGTAGCCTGTGGGGTGTGTGCGGTGTGTGTATCAGCTCCAGTTYGTGCAACAGAGAGAACCCAAGGCTTTCTCTGGTCTGACCTCAGCACTTGCTTGAATTTGTGTGCTGCTTGGCATAAGGGATATCAGCTGTGGTTGAGGCTGGTTTACATTGTCATAGTATGATGGACTAGAAAATAGCTTTTGTTTATCCACCCTGTACTGTCTTTGACATAGGAGGAAGATTGTGGGTGAAAAATGTTGGGGTTTTTTGGTTTTTGTGGGTTTTTTGACTCAGAATGCATCATTTTGCTAAAACTGTTCTTAGGCTTATTAAGTAGCCATGACATGCACATATCTTTCTACTCTTCAGGRGGAACTTTTAATACAAACCCCCTGGCCAAATTCTGTTAGGGGAAAAGCTGACTTATTAATATGCTATATCTGAAATGGAATTTTCCTTMTCTTTTAATTTTGTTTAGCATTATMTTTARTTTTTATTTCCATTGCCATTTCCATTTCAACTGGCRAAACAAAGATTTCTGAAAATAAAAATCGGAAAAACTTATTGCTCCATAGTACCTCTGCTTGTTGTGGTAATGTAGGAAAACTCTTAAGTCARTTTTGACTCCTTTGCATGTCTTGACACATTTGGAGTTGATCTGCACCAAAGATGACAAGATTGTGTTAGCTGCATCAGTAGGAGACACGCTTATTAAGGGATTACATTCATCATTTCTCAGCAAAACAATCATTGCCAGTGGCAATGGCAAATCATGAGAAGATGAGATTTTGTATCAGTATGTTGTTTGCACACCTCTTAAGCACAAGCGTGGGTGGGTTTTTTAACCTCTCCCTAACTGAATTTTTTTTGTAAAGAGTTTTTGTTTTCAGTCACTAAACTGCCGGCTCAGTACTCAGCTTTTGTATTTCTGAAAATAGGTCTTYGACTCCTGAAAATACGTTGGCTCCTGAAGAACAGTATTCACTCACATAGGACTTCCCAAATGGGGGACAACTTGAGGAAAAATACCCTCTGAAAATAAAAAGAAACAGGGGGGGGGGTTATGTCACCATATATTCACATGGCTGGTTTGGGATGAAGCTGCTTCTTCCYCTCTCAAAAAATGAGGGATTTATTAAATTCCTCCAGTACTACAGAAAAAAAGAGGGAGAGAGAGAGGTCTCTGGGTTTTTTTTTTTTTTTACTAACAGGAGGGAGCAGCAGTGGACAATATTGCAAAGCAGCCTCTCTCTGCACAGTGTGCAGGAAGTGTGAATAGGAGATGCCYTCACAGGTGCCTTTTGTTATAGCCATGGACTGCACAAATAAACACAAACTTGAGATGTCAGTGCCCGCCATAGGCACTAATGTGGGCACTCGGATGCATCCTTTATCTCTGACCTGTAGCCACAGGAGTGTGAGAACAGTTTCCTGTTGAAATAAATCAACAGGAAATGGACAATGTGTATGTMAACTGTTTTTCTTATAACACTGTTTAGTCGGGATTTGTGGTTTGTGCGGACACAGGGAGCTTCTCCAGTGGAACATGCATCTCCCAGCCGGACCATGGACACAAGAAGATGCAGGTGCCCTTCCTATTCATGTCTCTTCGTGATACCGTTATCTCTGCATCATCTTACAATTTGTCAGCCTTTAAARTGAAGTCCCTGAAAACTGAAGCTAAAATACTGCCAGTTTAATGCTTCTGAGTCTCACACAATGTTCCCGTTTCTGTTCCCTCCCCTAATAATCCAGGGACCCCCTGCCGAAACACCTTCAACCKGATGCAAGTGTGTGTTGTGCATAGTTTGTATATGCATAGTTTTGTGTTACCGCTGATTTGTGTTCAGCTTAGGGCATAAGTTTGTTTGCAAAGACCCATAATCGGCTCGCTTGTGGCATCCAGCGCTTCAGGGCTAATAACATCTATTTATTGAGATCATCAAGTACAGGCAACCAGACGACGGGTCTGGAAGAACGGATTAGTGGAATCCCACCGCCCTAACGGCAGCACGGCAGCCGAAATAGCTCAGTTGGGAGAGCGTTAGACTGAAGATCTAAAGGTCCCTGGTTCGATCCCGGGTTTCGGCAGAACCGTTTTCCTCCTTTTCTTCGCCCTGCCCGGGAGGTGGCGAGCGGACGCCTCTGCTGGGCTAGCCCGGGGGCTCTGAGCGCACCGCATGAGCCAGCCCAGGAGCCGCGGGGCTTGTGCAGCCCGTGGGGATGGGTTTGTGGGGCTTGCATTGATCCTGGCTCTCCCTGCCTTCTCTGTTCCCTGCTCAGGTCTTCTAAGTTCAAGCTTTTTATTTAGGATTGAAGAAATAAAAGCTGCATTCCCGTTCTCTCCACTGGCATTCGGTGCCTCTCACTATTGACGGCGGGAGGGACGAGAGAAGAGAAAGTGAAACTGCGGGAGGGGCGGGATGAGTGGGAGGGRWGGGACAGGGACGGRGAGAGGARGGCTGGGACGGGTACAGACACAGAAGGATTAGAGGTTGCTTCTTGCTGAAATATGAAGCGCAGGTCAAAATTCTGGGTCCTCACTATTCCTCTGCTGTCAATCGATGGCTGAAACTACTTCACAGAAAGCCAGAGGAATATCTTCGAGGCTAGGAAATCTGGTAATTAATGTCACCTAGGCTTTACCATGCATGTTTTTAAGGAGGGATCTGGTTTTGATCTGAAGACATGAAGAAGCAGACAGTTCATTACTTGTCTTTGGGAATTTGTTGCAGTTTTTTTCAAATAAAAAAAAAAAAAACAACTTTAATCTGGGTCTTTAATCAGGGCCTGCCCTCTGTTAAACCTTTTCTTGTTACATCTGAGATCTTTTTGGTATCTGGCATTTGGTCATCACAGAGCTGTCAAGGGGGCACTCATTTTGGTAAGCTAAAGAAATCAAAGTCTTTGAGTTTTTAAGACATTTAATTTTAAGATATTTTCTCCTGCTTTCAGGTAATTTTTTGGTAACCTTTTAAATACACTGACACCAGAATAATACACAGCAAAAGGATTTTCAGTATTGATGTCACCAGTGCAAAACAGAGCAGTAAAGCAGCTTCTTTCTTCTTTCTTTAACATCTTTCATCTGTTCATGAAAAGGTGTCACTGGTCCTTTTCTAATCACAGCATCACATCAAGCAGTGGTGTTGAATTGTGTTTCAAATACAAGGAACACTCACTACAGATGAATATCCTATTAGTACAAACTTGTTATTTAGATCCCTACTAATAAGACAGATAAGGGATAGTATAACTGCTTATGTTACTATTTTTCCTAAAGATTTTTTAAGGTTTTGAAATAACATTAAGACTGCACACTTGAGTACTCAGGGATAGAAAGAAATGTTGAAATGATCACTTACAACTTCCCTCAGTGTGTGATATCAAAAATAAATATATCTTTTTTCAAAAAGTGTTCAATTATTCATCAAAGACTTTA